TTCTGTGTGCATGGCTAACCCTACGGGTTTATCATTAGTAGCCCTTCCAGCCAAGTTCGTGGTAAGTATGATTTGAGATCTTCACTGCTTTTGCTTTCATATGGGTTTTCTGAAGTTTGGTGGATTCTTGTGATGGAAAGTGAGTTCTTAGAAACCCCCCACATAATAGTGTAATTTTGATCTGAAGTTTTCCTTTCAACTTCAAGGCTCACTCCTAACTGGTTTTTTTTTTTTTTTTTAATTCTGTTTGACTCTATTGTTTCCATCACTTTATGGTATCCTGTCAAACTTTACCATTAGTAGCCCTTCTTCTAATAGTGTGCTAGTCTTTCTAAATGAATATGGAATAAGTTGAAAAGGAATAAGTTGAAAGTGCTTTTATATTCCAAATCAAGATGACACAAAAATATATATTGGGCTGTTCTTGGGTGCACTGTAAATATAACAGTCTATTAAAAACAGGCTGGGCTAGACAAGGAAAGCACCACATACTTTAAAGCCAAGGGAAAAGCTAGCTTCAAGTAAAGTGATTGTTAGCAATATGTGCCGGGCTGGATGTACAGTGTTATCATTCTGGCAATACTGGCCTTATCTTTCTGTGCTGATTCACATCTTTCCCCAGTTAAGAACTTAAATTGCCAAACAACCCTTCTACCAGCACAGTCTTATTGCTAGTCACAAAAGTTACATTCATACTAGTAACTTGAGTGTGCCTAAAACTGTTCTGTGACACTAACATTCATTGTATATGCTATTAAACTTTGACAGACTCCAAAACAGGGTGTCTGCATGTGGACTGTCCACTGAGAATTGTCCCAGGATTGTGCAGGCTACCAAATCACGCCTGGGAATTGTTCAGGACAAGTTTGCTTAGGCCAAAAACATGCTGAGGATCATTTAATGGTATAGACCTCTGAGCTCAAAAGTCCAGGACCATTTCTGGTCTGAGTAATTGACTTGTATGGACTAGCCACAGTATGGTACAGGAACCATATGTGAATGTTTTGAAAACTGTTGTTGGTTGTCTGGGGTCTAATCAAATAATTGGAGTGAGATATTTGACAGCAATTTGGAGAGAAAGGGCCTTGCAAAGCTCTGAAAATCATTTAAGGGGGAAAAAACGAACTAGAAGAACAAAGCTTCTCCGCATCTTTCAAAATGTGTACATAGGGAGGGGATAATATTTTCATTTATCAATGAGTGATGATTTCCCAAATGCATTTGATGACATGTTTTCCCTGCAGCAACCCAAACTGCCCAAACGGCAGTTTGTCTAAGGGAAGTGTAGGGTGTCCCTAACTGTCATTTCACGTGACTAATTACTGAACTAGCAGATTTCTCTGTGGGCCAGTTTGGGAACTCTGCTACAGTGAAAGTATTGTCTTTTCAAGTACACTGATTAGAAAAAAAAAATAGAAATTGCTCTTCATTGTGGGTTATATTAAGGCAAGGAAGGACAAAAAACACAAGCACGGCAGGACTTGGACAATAAAGGAAATTGCAGAAACTGAGTAAATATGTTAACAGTTGGTAGTTGGCTCGTAAATGGCTTGTTAAAAATGAATGTATCTTCTGGGAGGCATGAAGGGTTGAGTTGCAGGATAATGTCTATTCTATGCTGTCAGCTATTCACACAAGGCACTCAAGCTTGTATTTCTTCCACTTGAGCTTATCCCCACAGTATGGAGTAAGACCTGGATCGCTGGCAGATGCTTCTTCCAGACTCCGAGAGCTGCCATGTTGCTCTGGCGTCACGTCAAGGACCCGTACTTGGGACTGAAAACAGCAACCACTGACCTCCAATGCTGGTCCCAGTCTCTAATCTCACCTCTGACCAGGGCTCGCACTTGATCAGCCTTGCCTGAACGACAGGATTAACCTAAGGCTGACTTTTTGCAGCTGTCTTTGTTCAGAGCAGTGTGATATATCACAAGCATAACACTGCATACAAATAACAGTCCAGAGTGGCACCCAGTTTCCGAGGAGTACAAATCCAATTTATGGCTCACTTCTTATATCCATTTGATAGTTCCTTGCCTATATAGTGTTCTACATCCTCTTATTTTCATACACTTCTTTTAACTGGTATGTTGTCCATATGCTAAGTATATATCCAAGCTTAAATCATTAAAAATACCATAAGCTGTGTTCCAGTTGTGCATGCTTAAGAGCTGTTTACACATTTCTTTCTTTGTACAAGAGTAAGACTGTCTTGTGTAGACTTTTGTTAATGCATTGGCGTACAGCCATCCCACACACTCGTCTATTGTCTGAGGGCTCATCAGTCACAGTCTCGAACTCAAAACATTAATTCAGCTGTAGAGCTACAATAATTAAACTGCCTTTTTTTTTTGAGGATAACACTGCACAGCAGTGTTTTAACTGGGTCTGGATGCTAAATCTGTTGTTTTAAGGCATTCCAGAAGTCCTCCTCAGAAGTTCTCATCTTCAGGGAAACTGTTGAATTCCCACTGCAGAGGACTGAAAGATATACCTGGCAATACAATTTGGTATAGAAATAGTGAAGGTACAATAAACCAGCAGGATGCTTTGCAGTTAAGTCAGATGAACTGGAAAGCCTGCCACCTCTGCTGCAGGCCTAGACTTGAAATTGTACCAGCAGAAGTTGCTCTTTATACATCCTAAGTAAAATAACTCCAAATCACAGGACTTCTTCCAGATTAGCTGGTATGATTTAAATGAAGAGTCCATACTTGTGCAACAAGTATTGTACTAGTCTATAGTAGTCACTGTCTGTTTTAGTAATTCTACTAAGGCAATGGACTGATGTGAAACTACACAGCTTTGGCTTTCACATTTGAAAAAAAAGTATTTTTTCTTCCAGAGGGCCATACTGGGAGAAATTATCTTATTGTAGAGTTATGAATGCATCAAGTTTGCTCTCCTTTTATCTGAACTTTGCCCAGGTTGGGTAGGTCTGGTGTACTTATATTTGCAGAAAGCAAATATCTCAGTGCAAGCTCTATCTCTGCACGGGGATACTGTTCAAGTAAAAAAAGAGGATCACATTCATATGAATTCTGTACAAAGGGAAGCATGAGTGTTTTAACCTGCTTCATATAATTTTTTGAAATCTCACTACCTGAATTTGTTGGAGATATTTGAATCAAAACCAAATATTTTCATGTTTTAGCAGAAAGAATATCACATCTCTGTTGTATGTGATGTTTCCTACAGGACTGAATTTACACAGGCATGTTTACTATTCCAGTAAGGTCCTTATCTTTTCTTACAATAATAGTTTTATATAGATCTAATAATGACTTTTGGAAGCTAAATTACACTCCTTCCTAATAGATTTAGACCAAGAAAACTACATAAGCCAGAATAACTTTTAGCACTGACACTTGCAGCAGGCATAATTATTCTGGGAAAAACTTTCCAAAGCTTTCTCTCGGTGCTTGTGATGAGAAGTCTCCTAGCAATAGGATCTCTCTCATCTAAAGAACTTAGGGGCATAGACCGGTAGAGGGCTCTATCTTTTCACAAACACACTGAACAGTTAGAAAGGTAGTGATGCCTGCAAAATTAGATGCCCGTTTAATTTTTAACCAAGGACATTTTTCCACTGGTTTTGTTCAATCTTTTCATATGTTTTTAGTTCAAAGAGCACCCATATAATTTTAGGGGTGGATCCAAATGTCTACAATGAATTGTAACAGTGCAATTTGATGGCTCGTTGCTATTTCTAATGCACCTTTTTTCTCGTATTTTTTATTTGATTTGATTTTGCAGTAAAAGTGCTGTGTTGTGTAGAGTTCATTTAAGCTACTAGCAATAGACTTTCTTTTAAGTAACTCTTTTCAAAATGCTTAAAATTATCTTATGAGTTGACAGACATCTGTAATCACAGCTTGAAAACCATGGTCTGAAGTTCACATGAGGGTATCCATATGCATACTCACCTCCAGTTTTACTTCAGCAAGCCATGAGAATAAATTCACATGTGACAGCTGTATAACCAAAGTTGGTGTAATTTTTAGCTCATAATGACTCCACCTGCCACTTCAGGTTAATTGCACAGGTCTGACCTTTGAGTAAGTCCTCCACTTCCATCACCTCAGTCTCACACAAGTAACATCTCTGTTCCCACCCACCGTCAACATGGCTTGATGACGCTCAGTGATCCTCTAGCCACATATTCTTCTTGGGTGCAGGGCTGGTGAGGAGTTATGTTTTCCTAGCTTCCAGCTGATATGATTTTTGTGCTTGTGAGCAGAAGAACTGAATGCAGCAAACCCGCTGCAGAGAAATCTAGCTTTCTTGGGTTTGGTCCAAGTTGTTCAGCTGCTGTCAGCTCTCACAGTTTAACACGTATGGTATGGGCCTCGCTGCTTGCTCTAACAGAGTTCCATGTTTTATTTCTTCCAAAGGGCAGTGATTTTTTCTTGAAGCGTAATGCATCTCACAGTCCACGTATGCTATTAACCATGACAATACTATAGGACATGTATGTGGCATCCCAACAGATAATCAGCATACATATTAAACTAAATAAGACAGTTTGTTTCTAAGCCTAGATATGTCCCCTAGCCTCCCTTTTTATTCATTTAGATTAACACAAAAACACCTATTACTTGCTTAAGTTGTTGCTTAAGCATTTGCAATACCACATCTTACAATCACTTAAATTCCGAGACGTGGTTCTCTGGCTAGTATAAATTGCCATGAATTTCTTGATACCATCTGAATGTCCTTCTAGCTAGCTAAGAGTAGGCTTCTATTGGCCCTTTTTTGCACCTGATAAGAGAACTACTGTACACTTATGTATCTGGAATTTTTTGTCCTCCAGCAGCATGATGGAGCCTCTTAGAGCACCTCCATCTTACTTATTCAGGCTCTTCTGGCCACTCTATCAGCAAGAGCAGAGCACTGATATTTCCTCAGCCACTGGCTACTGAAATTTTTTGGAGTTTTGTCATACTTTTGTGCCAGGCGAACTGAGCTATCTCTTATTGACAGTTATGAGTGACACTTGTTTGTGTTCTTTTCTCACATGGAGGGAAAAAATAAGTTATTGTTTTCTAGCATTTTACTTTCTGTGCTTTTCTCCAAAACTATCTTCCAGTATTATCTTAATTTAACATAAAAATGGAAAATGCCTCCTTTCTTCGCATTGCCTTTTCCTCACACTATGCACTGAGTTTCTAGTGTCGCCTCCCTGCTTGTGGAAGTGAGAAAAAGAAAAAAGTCCATGTCCTGCACGCTCCAGCTGCACATTAAGCCAAGCACAGACAGAAAGTAACTTTGTGCTGCTCTCGGCCTGTGTAGGCTCTCAGTCAGGAAGGAAGAGAGAAGTTTGGAGAATGGCCATTTGCTACAACCTAAACTTCAGTCTTCAAGTGTAGGGATTGTTACTCCCTCTGTGAAAGCTAAGAAAAATAGTCCCTTGCCTGCCAGAGGCATGTTATGGATTCCAGAAAGTCTAACAACAAAAAAAAGTTAGAGAAAAAAGATGTTAAAGGCAGAGCTGACAGTGAGGGAAATAGACTGGGACTTGTATGGGTTTACATTTCAGTCTGAATACGATGCTAATTTGAGAATTGTCCTTTGTGTGTGCAATTAATTCATTCTGTTAATTATATACAGATGTATATTTAAGTATAATAATTAATAAAAAATAATATGAAACCTAAGTTCCTTAGATTAGATTATACACTCAAATAAGAAATCCAATTGTTCTAAGCTTGGCTATTTTTGGAGATGAAAGAGACTTAAAAGAGAATCCAGCTCCAAGTTTAAAAGTAAACAGTGAAAGCATTCACTCTTTGGGCAGCCCTCCTCAGTATAAATTAAAATGCTCTGAGTCATTGACACCAGCAATCATTGAACCTTTCTCAGTCCGTGTTAGTCATAGGCACCTTTTACAGCATTAACTACCTCAGCTGGGACTGTTCAAAGCCTTGTTACTCATCTGTGATAAAATGAGGAGGGGAGTAATTTCGTAGTTCTAAGCACTAATTGGGATTATCACAGAAAAGTCCTTACTGAGTAATACCCTCTGGATTTGTGTTTTCATGTCTAATACTTTCACCTACTGAAATGGCATCAGGACAAACAAATTCCTATGGAAAATAATGTCCCTGGTGAAGATGCTGTTATGACTGTGTCTATTGCTACCTTCAATTTGATAGGATTTTCACAGTTAAGAGAGAAGTGCTTTTCCTCAGCCCATATGTGCTGAGTCACATGAAAAAGGAAGAACAGTTACCATCCATTTTTGAAGCTCCACATTTGATATTCAGCCTTCTTATTAAAATTGCAGTCAAGGAGGGAAAAGTGCTTGAATAATTCCTAAATTCTACAACCCCTGCTTCCTTATGGGAATGAGATTTGAATTTCTGTAGCTTGAGTGCATTTCTAATCACAAACCCGTGGCACAGAGAGCAGAAGGAGAGGGATAGAAGAGGATTTTCGTGGAAATAAAGTTCATATTACTTTATATGTAAACAGATCAAATATTTAGGATGCAAATTTTTTATCAAAATGAAATGAAAAATTATGATGATTATATATTAACTACCAAGAACAAAACTGCTATCATTGATATTTCATAAAACTCTTATTTTAAGGCAAAATAGAAAAATTACATTGGCTTAGCCAAGCCACTCAGATTTTGGCTTGGATTATTGTTTTTTTTTTTTCATTTGCACTAACAGCCATTAGCATAAATGGAAATGCTTAAAGCACACTTGAAAGTGTTTTAAATTATTTAGAAGTTTAAATCAATCCTTTTTACTTGAATATAGTGTTTATTCTTGTATCCTTCAATATTTCAGTATCACACTATAAATATGTAACAGACAAAGCATAAGAAGCTTGCTGGAAAAGACTTTGAACAGTTAATGTTTCAAAGATGTTTGTAGTGTTGAAGGACCCACTCATCTATATTTGTCTGTCCTATCCTAGTTTGTGAGTGACCCCATGCAAAATGGGACAAATAATATAAAATACAGATTTTCAGGATCAGCAATACAGTCCTTGCAAAATCCTTAGAAATGTTTTCTCTTCATGCAAAAATCTAACGTTTTATTGTATTAAATACTAAGTATCTTGACACTAATGGACTTTTCCAAGGTCTTTCCTTTTTCAACCATCAATATTTATTCAATTTCTTTATCTTTTTG